AACTTCCAGAAGATGTGGCCTATCTTCCGGCATAGCTGTTGGGCTACCCAGCTGACCTATAAGTGACCAATACTGGAACGGCCTTTGGTGCAGGCTTGTCATGAAATAAACAGTTTCGGACCATGCTATACTCATACGCACAAGCGTAGCTGTAGAGTCATTTGGCAAATCAAGCACCCATGATGTCGCACTCGTAATAGCCGCATTATAACCCGGCGAATACTCTCCGCTATTCACTAAGCCTTAGTGACTAAGACTTAAAGCATCACCCTGGAACCCCACAGTGGTCTGCGAGAAAACCGCTCGAAAAGGCCGCTCTCAGGCTTGGAAACTACGCTTCAATCGAGCCGTCCTGCGCAACCGCGAACCACGATGTACGCAAGTTTTTGGACCAACAGAAGGCTACGGTCTGCGCCCTTTGGTTGGGCATGACAAACAACCACTGACACCGAGAAAAACAGTCATCCTAAAACATACCGCGTTGGGTACTCTGAGTGTCCTGGCTCACGAGCAACAGGTTGCCAACTCCCCTTCTCCAGCCAACCAATCTCCACCTACACTCGCTTAGTCCTACCTACCTCAGTCTTACTCGCCTACCGAGAGATGGATGAGGGAAGAGAGACAGACTGCAGTTGATGCTGCGAGAAGTCGACTATCACTTAAAACCTAACTTATGCTAAAGTCACTGCACCAACCTCACTGCATAAGTTGGACATCACTAAAACTGATGGCCGAACTGTCGCGTACAAAAATGGGAGTTATTAGTTGCTCAGAAACCAATCTGGGCGCTCGACCGACACAAAGCCTCAAACATGCAGTTACTCGGAATAGCATAAATCTACGTCCCAACTCCTAGTTGAGATCGAGCCAGCGCGGACTCTAATAAATGCCAGTCCTAAACAATTATTAGCGTCAGTAATAGTACCAGCACTACTATCACTCAGCCACAGTGCTAGTAAGCAGCCGTACAAATAGTAGTAGCCGTACCAGGCTTGGTTTCCTTGAGTCTGTCTTGACACCTACTAAAGGTGATTGAAGATAAATAGTGCGGTAGTACCAGCGCAAAGGACTACTGCCACTTAAGACTAAGAAGGCGGTGTGCTGGCCTGCATTGGAGAAAGCGGCCTACGCCTGTTCGGTCATCTCGAGTCTATCTTGTTACTGGTTCAAGCGGGGAGAGGGTTTAGAGTGTGGTAGATGGCTGCTCGTCTACTTT